AAACAATATACGCGAGTGAAGGAGTACCGAAATGTAATGTACGGCACCATCTTGGATTAGCACATACCAAAACAAATGGACGCGTAAAGAGCGTCTTCCTCGTTCTTGTACGTATGTACCATCTCACATGAACCCAAATTAACCAGATATATATGCTTTGTAGAGCTTTTCCGCAGTTAACAGTTTGTAGTTGACAAACACGCATTCATATTTATATTTCGTATGGCTTTCATCCTCTCTTTCCACATGGTTATCTGGGAATTATGTACTAGTAAAGATCACATGTGTATAAACTTAAAAGTTATCATAGGATTGAAAAAATAGATGTTAGAGATTTGTTACTGTCATCATGAGTAAATTTTATAGTGGTATGGACAATTTTATACATCTATTTATATATTATGTGATACTCCCTTCATACCAAAATATAAGTATTTTTAGCTATAAATCTGAACAACCGTGTGTCCAGATTTATAACCAAAAGTTGTTATATTTTGGAATGGAGGTAGTAGTTTTTAGGTTTCTAATATATGTGGTTTTCAGTATATATATATATTTTTCTGGTTATACTTGTTAGTGCCAAATGTCAAGCATGCAAACATCATACATGCTACAATTTCTTATGGCGTTAATATGCACATGGTACAGCTGCAAGCTAGGTAATCAACCGATCGACCAGCAAGATCCTAACGATTTGGTTCACCAAACAATAATCTTCCGAGAGCTCTTCAAACCGGTCGCATTCTGCCGTGTCACGCGCCTAAGCCTCACTTCGTATAATCATATTCTTTTTGGCCCTCGAGGTGGCACACGTGAAAACGGGGACACGTGTGTGGCCTGGATGTGCCTTTGGTCGAACGGCAATTCATTCATTCACACGCTCATTTCATTCAGCATCGCAACAACACGTGACAGCTCTTAAATAAGCCAACCCAAAAGGATCCACTACTGTAGTAGTACAATACTACTGCTACACACCGAATTGAGCTACTAGCTAGGAACAAGAAAAGAAAATTTGGGCAGATGCAAGTGCGTTGTTGTATCGGTACACCGACTGATGAGATGTTACATGTGTCAAAGGTGGTGAATCTCCTTAAAAACAAAACGATGTGGTAATAACGTATGATTAGTTCAGTTTTAATTATTATAAACTTGAAAATGGATTAATTTGATATTTTAGAGTAACTTTCATATAGAAAGTTTTCGCACAAAACGCACCGTTTAACAATTTTAAAAGCATGCCACGAGTATCCAAAATTTCGTCCAAAGCTTATTGGAGAAACGAATGCAGCCAAAGTAGCTGGATTTTTTTTACATCTTAAACTGTTTTAAAACTTATTTTATAAATAGACATAAAAACTTATTGCTGGAATATTTTTTTTTCATGATTAGCGCCGTGTTCTAACGTAACGGCGTCAATGACATTGACACCATCCCTCTAGTCTTTCCGTGGAAGCCAAGTCATTGATTTGAAGGAAGTCGGCGCCAACGGCATTGGTGTTGAGGTCCTATTTGTAAAAAGAAAAAAAATCGAACACAATCTCTTTGTAATAAAAAAACTATTCGTAATAAAAAATATTTACAACTGGATACTTAGCACTAATGACACTTATGTTCAGAGTCTGTTTGTGAATATTTTTTCAAATAGATCCTTTTAAAAAAAATACAAACAGGTCTTTGACGCCACAAACATTGGCGCTACCCCATCATATCATCGACTTAGCTTCCACAGAGAGACTAGAGAGATGTCGCTAATGTTATTGGCGTCGTCATGTTGAATCACGACGCTAATGACGTTAATGATATGAAAAGAATACATTTATGAAATAAGTTTTTCCAAAAGTCTTTTTGTAAAATAAGTTTTCATATAGGATGGAAAAAAAACATGTCAAAGTTGCTGCGTTGAGTAGAAGAACTAATCACATGGGTAGTAGATTGGTGGCTACTGGCTAGGGTTAAATTGGACGTGCATGAGAAAAGTTATAACAGCAAGGAGGTAAAAGGAGAATAGTGTTTTTATTTTCTGAAGAAAACTGAAACTTTGCCCAGTGCAATTGATGTGATCAGCTAATTATTTTGAGTAGGTATCTTCGGTTGGATTGGCCAATAAGTTGGCATAAGTACGTGAAAAGAGCTTGCTCATTTTACATTACACTTCGTCATGGGAAGGTAAATTTCCTAGCTTGAAAGAGAAGCCTGTTAGGTAATTTACGTAAGACCTTTTTAGCACACAATGCAAAAAGGTAATGTTGTATTAGGGGAAAGAGCCAGGGACCTAGTTAGTTTTTTTCCCCTGCCGTTTTCCATAGAGAAGACGCGAACATCTTCTCCTATAGGAATCTTCTCTAACTCGCTCTAGTGGAATTATCTTCTAATTTCTGCATGCGCCAAACCGTACATTGAATCTTTTCATTGTGCATCCATTGATTTGCACGAGGTTTCAAGTCGTGTTAAGTGAGGTGTCGGATTTTAATGAGATGGGATTAATGAGTCAAGACTTCAACTTTGAACCAAAACTTGTCCTTTGCGTTGGTGGCTCGAATTAAGGGTCCACTGATTGTTTCGTTGGAACCAAAGTTGTTGGATTTTTCTCAGGAGAGACAATCTACGAAGGAACCATTCCACAGGAAATATTTTTGCAATTACCCTAAGAAAACATATGTATCTTTGATCATGTGGTAGCGAATTTGGGAGGGGGCTACTAGTATCTATGATGTCAATATCATATTAATACGGCATTTATCAATGACACAGCGACTCGATCTAATTAAACACAAAATGACTGGAAACCAACAAATCTTACTTCCACACTTGAGGAATAAACAGTTGGTACGTAACTGGAAAAGGAATAGATAACGCCATTACGTGGCTATACCCAAACCAGTGGACCCTAAGTATTTCGTAGTATCTACTTCCACCGTTTCATAATGTATCTATACAGATTCATTAACATTAATATGAATGTGAAAAATACTAGAATGACTTGTATTGTGAAACGGAAGGAGTATATTACTTCACATCTATTCACTGTTCTAAGGCGTTACTCCTTATATGGTTAGCCCATTTGTTGCCAAAACTTATAGAGGTAGTAATAGTGATAGCATATTATTAATAATATGATTTGATTGTAATACAGCAATTGATAGACTGGACTTGTACTAGAGGTAGCAGTGTGCAGATTACGATGAAGCAACAAACCCAGTAGAAACAAATTGAGAAAAGAAATGCACAACATTATATCGACCTAGCAGTAATGTAGACGGTGCTAATAACACAAGGGGAAAAAGTTTGGGCACATCCATGATTGATTTGTCCTTGTTTTGGCAGCTTGCAAGATCGTACGTAATGGGGGGACCCTTAGCTTGTAAGGAACAAGGCCGAGAATGTCCAAAGCTAATAAATTCGAAGTTATCGCCGGGTGTGGCTGTGGCTGTGGCTGCCCCCGGCGAGGAAAGGAACCAGACGAGCCGCGCGAGAGAGATCCAGGAGAAAGACAAGGTTGAGCCATGCAAAAGCTAAGGCAAAGACAAGAGAGGAGAGAGCGCTAAAACGAAAGCAAGCAAAGCTAGCTAGCTAGCGTCGTCGTAGATACACACACAGAATCACAGATCCTACTACAAAAGACGATGAGGTGGGGGTGGGGTGCAGGGGCAGCAGCGCACTTGCTCGCACTCTCTGGGTTGTCGCGTTCCCGGTGTCACCGAGCCGATTCTTTGGACAAGCGAGTAGCCAGCCAAAGGCAAAGGCAGCCGCGTCACGAGGCGGCCACGGCCACCGGTGGCGCACGCACACGCTATCAATCACCTGTTTGGAGTGTTCCGGCGTGCGGGAGCGGGCAGCGCCACCTGGGTTTCCGAAGCCAACAAGCCAAAGGCGGGGGGTGGGGTGTGGGGGGCAGCTAGTGGTGGTGGTGGCGACATCTCGCTTTGTTTTTGTACCCATCCGGTTTGGATGCTAAACACCAGGATGGCTACAAGCGCAACAAGGCGCCCCCCAACCAAAGACGACGACTGCCGTGGTGGGAAAACAACAATTGCAGCTTGTCCTGTTGAGGAGAGGAGGAAAAATACGGGGGCTCGGCGTGGCGTGGGCTGGAGGAGCGGAGGGCGTTGCTGCTTCTGCTTGTTTGGACTTTGGACCCCGTCCATTCGACGCCTCCGGCGCCATGCCAACTGCCAAAGCCAAAAAACCCTTTGTTTTTGTTGCCTTCCCTTGGACCTGTGGTGCCGCGTCGCATGGGTCATACGGGGGCGGTTTGTTTTTCCTTGGCACCATGCGCACAAGCGGCATGGCGTGCGATATTTTTTTATGCAATGTCCCGTGTCCCTTACCGTCCTGCCGCTTTTGCTCTCTTCTACTCCTATCCCTTTAGCACTCGCATGTCAGACAAACTGTATAGCGTGCGTGCGATAGCGCCATTTTGGATTTCTTGTTCGCTGCTAGTGACTAATATACTGAAAGTAACCTCTGGTTGATAGCCCAGTATCGTCGAGACGTATATAGAAAGATGACCAGATGGTACGTACGTATGTAAAACAGGTGCGTATGGTAGAGAGGGAAATACGTGCTGACGTACTGGTGACGATATAACAAGGGGGAGGGTGAGTATGAAACCCGATTATGACGCACGCGTTGCCGTCGCAGCAACAGGCCATGATGTAATGTCCCGTTCGCAGCCGAGACCCTTGTGCATTCTGGGAGGCCAACCGGCCAACCATTCGCTCTTCTGGTACGATTCCCTGGGAACTAAAAGGTGAAGGATACCTCTACGTAAGGTTCACAATTAATAATCAGAAAGTTAAAGTATGCAAACTGAACAATGTAAGAGCTAGAGATGTAACCAGAGATGAGCAAGCAACCTTCAGACGTCGCCCGGACATGACGCCGACCGTGGATTGATTCCAGCACATGGACGAACCGTAACTATGTTGGCAGCTGCTTATGGTCTGCGGCTGCAATCTCATACGAACTTGTCCATTTCCATGCAAACAAAGCCGAGATAACATGAGACAGCGCATAATCCAAGCAACCGAGTAAACAGATGTGAAACGCTAAACGGCCCCGTTCCATGATAATTCCATTTTGTACAACCTGGAGTCTACAAAAGATAATTAGTCTACCTAGATGGGGGTGAACCTACGCGGATAAGCTAACTTGCAAAGTCCCTATGTAGGTGGTTAGTTGTGTTCCATGGCACCTTGGCACACAAAAAAGGACCCCGTTTGCCTTCAGGACATGAAAGAGTTGCAGTGAGAACTGAGAATTGGGGAGCTTCACTGGTGGATCCATCAGAGTCACCAAGAAGATGACCAAAAAAATGGTTAAACCAGTTAATCGGAAAATAAACTGAAGAATTTATCCTTCAGCCCAGACAAGCTTGAATATGTTTCTGCTAGCCCCTGCATTTATCAGCGTGCTCTTGTTCTTCAACATCTTCTCTTGGGCATGGGTATCACCATCCTAAAAACATCACAAAAACAAGGTTTAATTCACGAAAAGAATAAAGCATATTGTGTGAGATAAATAGTACTAGAGCAGCAAGAGATATGGAATGCACTACGCTGTTCTGGTTTACAAGTATAAACAGGAGTTATAAATGGAAAGAACATTAAAATGGTGCGTCTAATGAACATTGTAAAAGTTAAAAGGAGAAGGGAACTGACAAGCATAGAGTACGCCTTAGCAAGTGAGAAAAGAGTTGGATAGAGCCCTATCACAGCAAGTGCAGCTTCTTCTGTCACTTGTGGCACCTGCATCACATTCATAATTAATTAGGAAAATTCTTGCCTCCAACTACAACATGAAATGAATAGATGTCTGACTTTGGTGAAGATTGTTTTTATTGCCCAATTACCTGCATAAGTTGAAGGGCGAATACATCACTCACAGTTATCTTCTTAAGGTCATCACACTTCTTCGTAAACTCATCATAGGTCAGGCAAACTTGAGAAGTATTAGCACCAGTAGAAAAGTGTGTGCTGTAGTATTCGGTTATTGAATGAGTAAGGTTGCCATATGTCCTTACAGTCTCAGCATACCCAGGGGTTCTCTGGACATCAAATCCTTCAAGAATTTCAGTGGTGAAGCAGCTGCATATATAAGGCCAGCGGTTACAAGGTCATATGTCATGCAGCCAAAAATCCAATTCATTGACTGACAAATCTATACAATACAAACTACTTTTAAGGGAGGGTAAAAGAAGAGAAATCAACAAGAAAAAGCTGCTGCAGAGTACATACGCAGTTTTGATCCTTTCTGATGTATCAAGAGGGTTTGGATCACCTTCAACCAGATATATCAGCTTCCTTAGGCCACATTTCTACAAACAAGGTGCACCAAAGAATCACAACATATTGCTGCTAACAATAAACAAAATATGGTGCATATATATGGAAAAGATAAACAATATGCCTGAGAGGAGGTTCAAAATCTACAGGCTCGAGTCCTAGCATCAGGGAAAACTAGAACATTCCACATAAAATTCAGTAGTTCTCAACACAAATCAATATCAACTTTACAAATATAACTATGAAAGACCTAAGGAAAAAAAAAGTTCAACGGTATTTGTACCATAACATCAAATTAAGTTACACTGGATCTATGATTAAGTGTCACATTTGCTTCCATGATTATGCAGCCAAACATGCTCACGAGTTTGCCATCAACCTAATTGCTACAAATGTCAGTGGCACATGAACAAATAAATGTTTTCAGTAGCCACACCTGCTGATAGGATTATAATAAGAAACAAACTGAATTTCGTACAAGTAACAAAACTGAAAATATAAAAAACAAGGGGAATTAACATTAAAGTTCAATATTAAAGCGAAGGCGATGATAGCGCAGATGGTACCTTGAGCCTTAACTTCTGATCTTTGTATCGGTTGTCTGTGATTGAACTACACAAATCTGCAACATTCTTCCTTTCAACAATGAAATCAAGAACATACTCTGTGTGAAGCTTTCTATCACGAGCAATCCAAATACCATCCCCAACAGGCAAATGCTTTATCTGAAAGACATGGTTCAAATAGAAGGATCAAAAATCACTTTCACTGGCACACGCTAAATGAACAACTCAATTTATGAACAAAATCTGTGACACTTCATTTATTGCCTACAGCAACAGCTGCAGCTTTAGTCCCACAGAAGTTAGGGCAAGCTTATATATTCAGCGCAGGTGTTTCCCCTGCTCTTTTGATCAATATTTTACCAGCACACCAAAACTAGCATACAAATCATCTAAATTATATATTTGAACTTGTGCATCAGGTAAGCAAACAGAAGAAATTAGTGCCTGCTTTATATTGTTTAAAGAAGATTTCTTGTTATTGCCAGGATATTTAATTATAATCATGTTGATGAAATGGTATTGAATTTGTGAAGCAAGTTTGGGTGGTCCGAGGAGTGAGGAGATGTGCAAGGATAATGGGAAACAGAGGAAGTAAGGAGAGATTAGAAAGACTAAAAATTCAAACTTAACTAACCTCTACAGGTACACGAAATTGTGAATGTATGTTATCAACAGTTTTTCTTGAACGACCCCTGCCAAAAGAAAAGGTAACAGTTTTGAGAACGAACAGATACACAGTTGTTCGAAATAAAGCCAATGAATGAAGTTAATATAAAACATGTAATTGCAGGGGGGAAATGGGTAGTAGCAAAATATTTGAAACAAAAATGCAGCCCCATGTGTATCTGGTACTTAAAATTTCAGTAATGAAAAATTTCATAGAAAAATATCGAGCTGTCTTAGCAATATTGGAAAAGGAACATGACAAATAGTTCTCATAAACCTAATACTAGAACATAAAAGCACATGTTCCAATCGTTTCAGCTGTTTGAGTTGAGAGGTTACTAGTTAGACCTTAACATGAGACCCAAAAGTTTAAGGATAGACAGTTAGATGCACCAAACATCAACATTAAAGGTAAAATTAACTGAAAACAATACGGGTTCAAAGTGTTTTAAGATTCAGGAAAATGAAGTTAGTTAAGCATTGCAATGGGCTCCAAAAGGGAAAAAGAATGGTATTTGAAAAATCATCATGTGTCTTACTTTAACGGAACAGTGTGCAAAGAGTAAAATAAATTTCTCTCATATTTGCAAATCAATGGAAAGGATAGAATGCAAATAATCAGTACATTAATCAAATCCTTGAAACTAGCATCCTCTTATCCAGATAACCTTGAAACATTGTGTAATGTAACTGTCCATAATGAATAGATTGATTTTTCAAACAAGCTATGTAAATTTTGAGTGCTTATATGTTGGCTAACAGATTAAGATAAGGTAGGAGTGAACAGTACCATCGTGGGCCTCAGACCCCTACCTAATACCCATGATACAACCATAGATACAAATTTTGTAAGATGTAAGAGTATGGTACGATCATACAAACCCAAAATTTTCACGATCATCCAATATCAACACAACTTCATAATCTTCAAGAAAATTTTTACTGGATCGCCGAGGTGGCATGGCTAGTATAGAATTGTCCATACATACAGTATCATTGTCCAGCATATTGAATTCAGCAATACCCTGGTAGTTGAAAAGATGTAATAGCAGTACCGTCATTTCTTTGAGTAATCAGCATCTTCAACTTCAAAAGGGAATAAGTTACAGAATAGGGATTAGGGATTAGGGATTTAACCACAAAAGGTCAGGTTACCATTGTACTAGAAGACTGCATCTCAAATGTTCCTTCAGACGAACGAGGAGAAATAGAAGCTGAACAGTCTGAGAATCTGTAATTTGTAGTAGTCTTGCCTGGAAAAAAAAGGTTATTGGGATTAATTGAAAAGGCCAGTAAAAATAATACTTTTATTGGATGCAATATTATTCTAATAGAAAACATAAGATTGATAGACAACCAGAGTTGCTTGCATTCAATATTGGAGGGGCAACCCTCTCAGTAAATTCTTCAGAACCTGCACTTAGGAAACCAAAATTTATTTTAGCGCAGAAGGAATATAACAAATTGTTTGTGAGCTCGAAATAACAATTTTACCTATTAGAGGATAGTTCTCTGTATATAATTCTTCAGAATCTGAGTCACTAAGAATGATTTCTTCAGCACAGTTCTCCTAAAAAAGATAAGAGAATCTATGAGTTATACTACAGCATCTAAAATTCTAGTATGACAGAAAAGTATGGAACTATGGCCGAAAGCCTAGCCTGTAATTCAGAATTATGTACACTAATTACAACCCAAACCACGTAAAACCTAAAAAGGAAAAGTGCCTGATTGGACTTCACCAAATTGTAGCACTATTAGACAGCAACAACATCGCAAAGCTACAAAAAGGCTTTGCTTTATTGAGATACAAAAATAATGGCAGTTCTGCTTATGCTGAAACAGCTGAACCAGAAGCTAAGATTGAATATTGTGATCATTAAATTGAAGAACTTGATCAGAAGAAAAACTATATAATACAATAGAACCAGACCAATGGATCTTTTGTCACATTCTTAGCTTGGGAAAAATAGCTTCTAAAGCAATGTTAGTAAAGGTAGAACTTACAGCAGTTCTAACATCAGAGTTGTAATTGAGTGATTCTTGACTTGTCAAATATGTCACTTCTGGTGATGTCTTAGTGGCAGGGTTGGCAATAGATGTTTTGGGTCTACCAATTGCCCTAGAAGGTCCGGATGATGTCTCAACAAAAGAAGTCATGCAAATATTATTCAACTTATGACTTGCATTAGATGTGTCGGGAGCACTGTTTATCACCAAAGGTGCTGCATGATCATCTAACCCAGACCTTGAGAGACATTCAAGAGCAGTCGATTTCCCTTCTTCAGTTATCATATACCTACAGAAATTCATTTGTTAAGCCCCTAGTTATGCTTAGCACCTCAAAAAAGTACATATTGCTTAATAATATAGTCCCAACAAGATGCATGCATGTAAACTTAATAGACTCAGTTCTCCCATCACACAAATGAAAACAAATGGATTAAAGTAATACTAGAGATCAAGACGTGGGTTACAGTTTATGCGACAAACAAATGATAGGTCTCTGTATCATGATCCCAAGTGGAAGATCAGTAGGTACATGTTGCTTCACATTGTAGACTAACAGGTCAAAAGAAGCTCACAATTGGCCATGTCTCCCACTCTGCCTCTATTCATCGATAGAGAGTTGTTGCTATGCCACAGAATAACTGCATCCTTAAATCTAAAAGTGTGTCCTTTCAAAATTAGCTCAAAATATCAGAAAACAATATATTCCATAAAGTGCATGGAGATAGTGGACATAAAAAAAACTGCCAATCATCTGCAGGGATCTTAAGGTGGCATCATGTCAAATTTCCTAGCTTTTGTGTCTCGTGATGCTAAACTTATCCCAAACCTCAAATAACCAATGATGCAAATCACTAGTACTATAAACAATAGCCCCATGAACATTTTGATAAAAGTAACCAAGTTTATGAATACAAGTGTTCATGACTCAGTTCATTTGATTTCCATATTATAACTTAATGAAGCTCTTTTAAAAAGATGCACAATTAATAGCTAGCCCTTAGCAGTGATGCTCTGTTGAATATATATATATATATATATATATATATATATATATATATATATATATATATATATATATATATATATATCAGAAAAGCTAGTAGTAAAGACAGAATTAGTACATATGATCTAATACACGTACAAAAACCTTTGGTGCTGATTCACATAAAATTTTTATCTTAAGATTATGTGTGGAATTTTAGATAGGTAGGAGCTTTCTCACAAAAGAAATAACTGTGAGTGGGTGTATAGATTCCATACTCAAGAATGTGGCACTGCCACTGACAACAGTCAACCTTTTTGCAACTGTAGGAACCAAACATTTTTCATCTAAAGTAACAGAGCGGAAAAGTTAACATAGACATGGAAGATAAGTTTGATGAAATTACTTTGCAGGGTTACCGGACTTTGCAACCAGTCCTTTAGATGTCAATGTTTTCATGCAGCTCCATCCAGTGTACCAGTCCTTCTGAGAACTTGCAAAAGCCCCTGGTTTTGCTTTACTTTTGTCTGGACTGTTCATAATGCAAATTACCTACTTAGTAATGCACTGAAAATAGCAGCAGGAATGAGCAACATTGCGAGTATACTGTGAAAACTGTACCCAATTGCACTTCGTGACAGGCCACTTGCTTCAGTGGCGTCAATAAGCTCTTGCTTCTTCATATGACTCTTCCCATTGATTGTTTCCCTAGAAGGAAAATCAACTGTTACTGTCTGGTTACAAGTAGGAACCTGTTCTAATTCCTATGGTTATATATCATTGTTTGCCAAGAGATAGAAAACACTTTCATTTGATGAACAGCAAAAATAATGAAAAATATATCCCCAAGCAAAGCATACCTATGGAGCGTGATCAGTATCGCGTAAGCAGCAGAATTCTTCTGTGGCACATAACGCTTTGACCCTCCTGCTTTCTTCCCTATAGAAATAATAGTGATCTTCATTCTCACCACAGCAGATTAACTTAAAAAACCCTTCCCACAAGAAAGGATAAGGGTACCCTAAAAGAGATGTTCGGTAGGCATGCAATCAATCATAAAAACAGTTACCCTTTTCTCCTGCTGCATTACTTTCCGGGGGAGATAAATCTGGACTAGACTCTGGAAAGGATCCTTTCAGTTGCCTTATGACCCATTTCCCAACGCCCCTGACAACAGTGATAGAACAGGAAACACAGTAATACTTTTGAGAATTAGTGGTACATTATATGCTGCTTGATTATACTAACCAAGAAAAACATGTATAGTAGTGTGAAGTTCGAGATATTTGTTCTCTAAATCCAACTTATGAAACAAAAACCGAAGTGTAAACTCCTACATGAATCCACACTAAAGCCACAGTTACAGTTACAGCACTTGCTTATTTATCTACTTCAAAGCAACTAAAATTGGTTTGACGACACGCATTGAGTCAAATTTTTACCATATATAGGTGATCAACATATGCGAACATTATGATTTTACAGCTCACGATATAACCCTGTCCCCGCATTGAAATCTTGACGAATTTAGACACGCAACAGTTCACCATTCCGGTAAAACCGCCCAATCGAAAACCCCCAAACCAAAATCAATCAAACCCTAGCCGCACTGCAACCTTCAGCCCCCGCAACCGAGAAAAATAATAGAACAAGGGATAGGCACGGGAAACATGTTATTACTTGATCTGATACAGGTCCTTGAGGGATCGGATGGGCTCCTTGGCGGCGCAGACGTTGCGGTAGGATTTGTAGAGCGTGTGAGCCAGGTTCTCCTTGAGGCCGCCCGGCTTCTCCTCCATCGAGCGCCACTTCTCCAGGACGCATTGCGCGACCGCCTCGTTCTCCCGGAGGTGCACCTTGAGTTGCCTCGCCTCCGGCGCCATCGGCGAGGGGCTGGAGAGGCCGCTGCGGTGGAGGGGGGTCGCCGGATTGGGGGGGTTAGGGTTTGGGGTTTCAGGTTGGGGAGGAAGAGCCCGCCATTTGTGGGAGGTTTCGGAGGAGTTTGATTTTTGAAGTCCGGTGTGCTTTTGCTTTTGTTGTTCTGCACTTCCCTTCTCTTCTTATCCACCCCGAAATTACAAGAAACCCCTCGAATTTAACCTGTTTGATTGCCAGGCCCTCGGAATCATGGGCCTCTCGGGGATGGAATCTGGGCCTTGGTTAAAGGAGAGAGGAAAAAAGTCCACTTGGACTACCTTAAAAACTATGCGGAATCTAATTCATACCCCTTAACCAGAAAAGGAATAAGTTTATCTGAGGTCCCTTAACTTGTTAACGAATCCGATTTTGGTCCCTCAACCGAAAAAGATATAACAAGTCCCTCAACTACCAAGACCGGTGCAGATAAGGTCCCTTGGCGGTTTAGATGGTGGTTTTGGTTGACGTGACGTATACGTGGCTAATTTGACTCGGTCTTCATCTGACGTGGCACTGACGTGGCAATTCGATTCAGAAAAATAATAAAACCCGTGGCACTCACATGTCAGTTCCACACAGACTAATAAAAAACGATTTTGCTAGATATTTGTCATCAAATTTCTCCCCCTAATATTTGTCAGATGTAATTACAGTACAATCGTAGTGTAATTACACTGTAACTTGCATGTAATTACACTGTAACTATAATGTAACTTGTATGTAACTTTCAAGAATCTCTCGGTAACATGTTATTTCAGTAAAATAGAGGTCGTGGGAACAAATTCTTTCATATATGTGTGTGATGTGATTTTTTTCTTCCTCCATAGAACAAATCTTGTAATAGATCTGACGATTCAAAATTACGTGAAACTTACATACAAGTTACACTGTAGTTACATGCAAGTTACAGTGTAATTACATACAAGTTACATTGTAATTACACTACGATTGTACTATAATTACATCTGTCAAATTTTTAGTAGAAAATTTGTCGACAAATGTATAGGTGGTCCCATAAAAAAATGGTGGGGCCCACGTGGGCCCCACCTGGCAGTCAATCATCTCCTCTTCTTCCTCCTCTATCCCCATCTCCCCTGTCTTCATCTCTCCGAGAGCGTAGATGGCGATGGAGTCCGCGAGCAGGTGGGCGAGCCAGAGGAGCAGGCCGAGCACGGCGGAGACGTTGCGCTTGCGGATGACGGCGGGAAAGAGGAGGAACACCTGCAGCGCGAGGCTGGAGAGCACAAGCACGCGGATTTCCCACTCGTTCCACAAGGCCACCACGCTTGCCATGGATCCCTCCATCTTCGTCTTCCAATCTGCCGCCCGTAGCACGATTCCAGCGTTTCTTCTCCCCGGTCATTGCCTAATCCTCTCGGAAACACTGATCTCGTCTTCCCTCGGTCAACGCATTTTTTTTTCTCGATGGAAAGCTTAAAACGCGTAAAGGAGAAACATGCCAAGAAAACTGACCTGAATGTGGACTGACTTTGTAGCAAAGCTGATGCAACCATCTCAAAGTCTTGCATATTGTGTACTTGTGTAGCGTGTACTACTACTGATTTGGCTAAACTCCTTCCTTTGTTAGTGAGTTGGAGAGGCCAGAGTCATTGATGGCGGTGGAAGTTGTCCAGTTTCTTGTAAGAAAGTTTGTGGATAGCCTTGCGGAGGAGGAGGAGGCAGCAGCGGAGCTCCCTTTCCGCGCGCACTTCTACGACGTCAAGGCCGAACTGGAGAAGGCCGCCATTTCTTCCACCAACGACGATGAGCTCCGGCAGTGTCTGTACGAGCTCAATGACCTGCTCGCCGAGTGCCGCTTGCTCGCCAACCGGACGAACATGCGGCCGGGCTGCTTCTCCCCGTCCGAAGCGTGGCGTTCCAACAGCTTGAAGAAGAGGGTGATCGCCGTCAAGCGCCGAGTTCTGCGGAGCGTCGAGAGCGATTCCAGCGGCGTTGGCGGCAACGCCGCAGCCTTGGAGGAGGAGGACAGTGCCGCCACGGGCTTCAGCCGGTGGACCTCCTCCTGGATCGAAGAGGGCACCGTCCAGGGGTTCGACCAGCAACTCGCCGAGCTGGAATCCGTGGCGGAGTGCGGCGCCGGAGGACTTACCGGCGTCGGCATCGTCGGCATGGGTGGCGTCGGGAAGACCGGGCTCGCGCAGCTCGTGTTCAACAGCCTGCGGGCAATGAGGAGAGGGGCGGCGGCCGCCGGCGTTAGGCCAAGGGGGCAGGAGTGGAGGAGGCCGCGCCTCTCCACGGTCCTTATCTCCGCCGGCGAGAGGAGGGAGCAGAGGAGAGAGATGAAGAGAGGAGGAAGAGGAGGGGATTGCAATGACAGGTGGGGCCCACATGGGCCCCGCTATTTCTTTTATTATTGTGTGTGTGGAACTGACATATGGGGTCGCACGAGTTTTATTATTTTTCCGGATCAAATTGCCACATAAGCGCCACGTCAGATGAAGACCAAGTCAAATTAGTCACGTATGCGCCACGTCAGCCAAAACAACCATCTAAACAGCCGAGGGACCTTATCTGCACCGGTTTTGACAGTTGAGGGACCCGTTGTATCTGGTTTTTCGGTTGAGGGACGAAAATCGGATTCGTTAGCAAGTTAAGGGACCTCAGATGAACTTATTCCACCAGAAAACCGGGTAGGATGACTCCTCCAACTATTAAAACCGGTATAATTTGACTCTATCGGTGGTTTTAGAAGATGGTTTCGCTGACGTGGCGCTTTGACTTGATCTAACCGGCTAACTTCGCATGTGGGACCTACATGTCAATGTCACATTTTCTTTCTCTCTCTTTTCTATTTTCCCCTCTTTTTCTCCCTTTTTTTTCTCCAGGCGCTGGGAGTGGGCGGTAGCTGACGGCGAGAGGAGCTAGTAGCCGTCTTCGGCTTCGACGTCCAGGGACGGAGCTACCATGGTTCCCGGGTATTCCTGGGAGTACCCAACTTTTTTTTATCAGAAAACAAGTATACTTCTAGTATATACACATGTACACATATTAGTACACCTAAATCCTTAATTCTTCGATCCAAACACAGCCCAACCGGTCTCTTGCGACGCCTCCTACCAACCCGACCCACTCCGTCATGACCCATCAGACATCAGTTGACCCACTTAGCCACCACTCTTCCAAACAACCCCCTCTCGCTCTCCCTCCGTGACCCATCCCTCCCTGGCTCGGCTCCCTCATGCCGCTCCCCATTTCCAAGCCGGCGGCGGCGCGGCGAGGCGGCAGCCGGCGGCGGCGCGGCGAGGCGGCAGCCGGCGGCGGGAGCTAAACCGTGCTACCACGGAGGGGGAGGCCATTGCCACGGCGGGCGGCGGGCGGCGCCCGCCACTCTGCCAAGCTCAGGCGGTCAGGCCGGTTGGGTGGCCGGCGGCCACGAGGGGCAGGGGCGGCCAGCAGCTCAGCGCTTAGACGGGAATACCCAATTTTGAAATTCTGACTCCGCCACTGTCGACGTCCTTCCTGCAGGTGCCAAGCTCAGGCGGTCAGGCCGGTTGGGTGGCCGGTGGCCACGAGGGGCAGGGGCGGCCAGCAGCTCAGCACTTAGACGGGAATACCCAATTTTGAAATTCTGACTCCGCCACTGTCGACGTCCTTCCTGCAGGACACTAGTCAAACACATGCGAGTACCGTAGAGGATAGGTAAGATGTTAGAATGAAGGAACTCAGTATGATTAGTTCTTTTGTAGTTGGATTGTAATAAATCAAGCTGATAGATATCTGATATGCTTCTGGTTGTTATGTTTCTGCCGTGCAGCTGCTTACTGGTTCAGCTGCTTTTGCTTAAGCAATTCAGTTTGTTGACATCACTTGAATGTAACCAGAAAACAATTTATTCTGTTGCTCAAGTAAAACACCTCTTCCAGGAGATATGAAAACATTGTGAACCAAGTGCTCTTTGGTTGATCAAGCTGGAATTTAACATATTTTCTTTTCTGGTTTCACAACGCTTAATATTCAATGAATTATGGGACAGGCTGCGAGAAAAAAGGCACTTAAAGGATGGGATCCAACATTCATAAAGATATTCTTTTTGTCCAGATTCTGATAAGCTGTAGTTGTAGAATCCAGAAAATGAACTAGAAACCAGAAACTAGGAAACCCAGCTTTTCCAGATTCTATGAAGCTTAAGCTCCGCCAAACAAGCCCTTAGTCTTGAATTGCGACTTGTATTTAAAAGTTGAGAAGTGTTTTCCAGATTCTATGAAGATTAAGCTCCGCCAAACAAGCCCTTAGTCTTGAATTGCGACTTGTATTTAAAAGTTGAGAAGTGCTTTGGATTTACTAAGTAAACACATCTCGATGCAATAAAGTTAATCTACTTGCAAGAAGTTTCATCATGTTGCGTTTTCTATTCTTTAGCGGTCAGACCACGTGCATATGGGTGTTCGAACCAGCGAAGGCTCGACGGCCAAACGGTGGCATAAGGGCGGTTAGATAGGTGCATCTACTTCAATCGTCAGACCAACTTGACAAGTTAGTCCCTATGGAGTTTTGAGTTCTTTTAATCTTAAAAGAGATTTGATTGTTTGGTTCTTCCTACTATTTAACCCTCGTATGACAGGTTTGGTTATCATATTTGATTCTACATTGTGAAACTAATATATCTAATGTATGATTGAAGCTAGTGCCAAGAATAATAATATGTACCTGTTCGGGTTAATTACTAGTCTATACATATATTTGAGTACTTTTACTAAATTATTTAAAATTCAAAATTAGTCACTGACGTGAACTTTTCGTTTAATGTAATCCTCCATAATTTAAAATTAATGTAACCAACCTCATTTCACATGTGTTTAAAATTCTAATATTTATATTCTTAACACTAACATTTAACTAGTGCAATGTACATGTTGGGAACTATATGGGAAAATATTCAAAGTGAAAACCATACATAAAATTTCTTAAACGCTGGAAATGAAGTTTACGTGTGTGTATATGTGTATATATATATGTATATGTATGTATGTGTATATGTATGTATGTATATATATATATATATATATATATATATATATATATATATATATATAATTTAGTACAATTTAAACAGTCTGTGCACACTGACCAACTACTTGTGGAGTCACTTGGCAAGTTGGCAACATGAGCAAAGATAATTGTATTGGGCTCTGCGTAGCAGCAGCGAATCTTGCAAGTGGGAAATGCATCACATGTTGGTGCTTCCTCCGTCCCAAAATAAACACAACCATAAGTTTTCATATCTAACTTTAATTGTTAGTCTTATTTATTTTTTAAAAAAATAATTAAAAAACATAAGTCATATATAAAGTACCATTTATATTTTATAATCTAATAACAATAAAAAATTTAAATAATATGGACGATCAAACTTGGATGGAGGGAGAATGTTTTTTTATTGGGCTCTGCGTAACATCGAATCTTGCAATTGAATTTGAGGAGCCACTTGGCAATATGAGCAAAGCTATTCCTATGTCATTATTTTGAAGGGCCATGAATATTCTTATGTGAGTACACAGCCAGACCCATTAACTATGCGACATCCAGATTATATTAGACATACTCTCCTACATGTTTAACCAGAGCCATAACTCTAGTTCTACTACATATATAACCAGAGCCATAACTTTAATTCTACTGTCTTGGGCTTATATATATACTATATCCTAAAATACTAGTATGATGGGTGCATGAGGACCGCCTCACCTTTTAATTCGTGCCCCTATTATCAATTAGGGATGTAGGACTAAGGTTGTGTTTAGTTCGTGTGCCAATTTTTTTAAGTATACGGACACACATTTGAAGTATTAAACGTAGACTAATAACAAAACAAATTACAGATCCCGCCTGTAAACAATGAGACGAATCTATTAAGCCTAATTAATCCGTCATTAGCAAATGTTTACTGTAACATTACATTGTCAAATCATGGCGTAATTAGGCTCAAAAGATTCGTCTCGCGATTTACATGCAAACCGTGCAATTGGTTTTTTTCGCCTACATTTAATGCTCCATACATGTGTCAAAACATTTGATTTGACGGAAAAACTGGAAGTTTAAAGAAAAAAATTTGAATCTAAAGACGGCCTAAACCCAACAATCTCCCTTGTGCACATCAACTCATGTGACCTCCTCCGCTATGTGCCTTATGAAAAATGTTTCAGATTTCTAAATTTGGGTTCTGATGCCACTTATTAGAGTGCACGGCCCGACCACTAATTGTATTGGCAAATTTTGCTACAGAACATTGCTTCATAGTTTTAGCTGTAGGACATCGCACGAATTCACTTTTGGGAGAAAACATTATCTGAACGTGGTTATTTATTACTGGACACCGCACACATTAAAATATTACTTTCCGGTTGAATAGAAGAGATAAAAGGTGTGAAAAGTAAAAAAAAAAAACCCAGCCTCACTTGTCATATTCTTCTTCTTCCTCCTTATTTCACCTTTCTTACGTCGCTGCCGTGGCTGCTCCCCTTACAGATCGCCGCCTGTCGCTGCACTGACACCGCCTTCTTTCCCTACGGTGCGCACTAGTGGGCGCTGTACAAGCTCTGCGTTCTCAGATCACCAGACACCGATGCTCCCCCTTCGCCTGACGACTCCAACATACCGGCCCTAAGCACCAGATAATTTAAGATCGCACGCAAAGCTAGCTAACCATTTCTGTATGCACACATGCACGCGCGTATCCTTTTGATTTTTGCATATGAAGTTAGAGTAGTTAACTTTGAAGCTTTGATGAGATCAAACGGTTCTGAGCTGGACAATGGCAATGGAGCTGCCGAGCTGGAGTCCTCCTCGTGCACATGCTGCCGCCGCTTCCGTGGCGAACAACGGTGGCGGCAGCTTGGTTGGTGACAGCTGTCTCACGGTGGCATCTGGACGCGGCGCACCTAGTAGGAGGTCTCGCACGACGACCACGGCCGCCGCCGGTTGGGACTCTCTCGTCCTGCGCCCGTCGTCTTGAGCCGTGGGCGCATCACCTGCGAGACGCCATGGAGGGAGGTAGAGGAAGGGATAAGGAAGAATTGAAGTAACAAGAAGAGGAAAAGGAAAAGAAAGAAGGGGTAATTTGGTCACTTCGTGTAAAAATTTAGGTCTGCCTCGTCAGCACAAACACACTATTTTAATGGCCGTGGTGTCTGCTGGCAAATAACCACGATTAGAGAGTGTTTTCCCCCCAAAAGTGAGTTTGTGCGGTGTCCTACAGCTAAAACCATAAAGTCGCGATATTTTGTAGCAAAATTTGCCAATTGTATTTTACCCAAGTCACATTAGGCTTGCTCCATCACAGACCCAACCAAAGCTACAACTTTAGATCCTAAGCTTACATAAACCAAAAGACTATTGTCTAATGTGTGAGGACTATCCCCACCTTCCAAGTGCTTTGATACCACTTGTTATAAAACCGACCCCGAAATCACCATCGGTAACCAAACGCAAAAAAAACACCGTAGGAGATCCAAAACTGAAGACGACATCGAGGTATAATATTTGATAACGAAGTTCAGCAAAGCCTACATCTTCGGGGTACCGATTACAGGCGCTCATCCCCGATTCATGACTCCACCCGCAATAGCACTCCCTTGTAGCTTATACAAATATGATCTTGTCTTTTCACCAGTCATAACAGTCTTCCCGTTATTCATGACATTCATGGTCTTCCTATCATAATTTACTTGATACAACCGCCCTTTCTCATGTAGGCTCCTAAGCGAAATCACTCATTAGTCTTGGCACGTGTCTCACATCCCCAAGTAGCATCACATTTCTATCATACATCTTGAACTTAACATCACATACTCCAACAACACAATATCTCATGTCATCGCCTAAACAATACCAAACTCACCGGATTTATATAAAGAGAACCACTCCTGCTTCGATGTCACATGATAAGAACTAGCTGAGTCCAAAATCCTCCCTTCACCAGTCTTCTTGTTAGACACGCTATGAGAATCTCATGCCTATTGCTAGTTGAGCCATCACCATGAGCCGTTAAATTTACAATTGAACTTTTCCTCTTATTCGGTAACGGACAATTCCTTCTTTTATACCCAAAATCATGACACTGATACATACCCTCTTCTCCTTGCCCTTCGACGTCCCCGTATCATTGTCATGCTTTACCTTGACCAACAAATTTTCAGCCAGAGAAGCCTCCGTTGTCTCTTTTTTTTATCTTCTCAAATCCTGCATAAGCATTGCCAAAATTATCTCTCCAGTCTTGATAGTACCTTGCCATATGTCATGGTAGTCACCACATGCTCATGAGGCGTTGGAAGTGAGCTCAGAAGAATTATGACTTTGTCTTTATCGTCCAGTTTCACATCTAAATAGTTTAGATCCTTGACCAACTGATCGAAGACGTCCATGTGCTTCCTAAGATCTGACTCTATCCGTGTTTGTATCCATTTGCATCTACAAACCATACAACTGTTGTTTGAGATATAACTTACTAATAAAAAAACACGAATATTAGAGAATGATCTAATATCAAGTAAATAGAATTTGCATCTACAAACCGTACAACTGTTGTTTGAGATATAACTTACTAATAAAAAAACACGAATATTAGAGAATGATCTAATATTAAATAAATAGAAGGGGTGAGGCTTTGAATCTAGGCCGGCTAGCCCACCACCTCGTGGAGTTAGCTAGGAGACCCCTAGGTGTTTTTCACATATAATTTACTAGTCAATGTCTTAGACATATCCAGGCTCGTCAATTTGTCCCAAATTTTCTTTGGTAAATTTTCCTCCATGACCTAGTACACGACCGAATCCGAGAGACTCAATCATATTGTCGCAGCTTCCTGCACCTTGATTACCTCCTACTTGTCATCATCATCTTGCCCAGTTTCATCTCATCAAGAACCTTGGATATCCTCTACTCTGCCGAGCCAACAAATTCTTCAACCTTGTCTACAAGAGAACGGAATTTTTAGTGCCATCGAACTTTACCAAATCAAACTTAGGGACATCGCTGTCCGTATCGACGATAAAACCAACTCAACCTCTATTACCCTGTTAAATTGATCTGGCCTGATTAATTAACCGAAACTTAACCTGCTAGATCGTACCATTTTTTATTCCTCAAGAAAACCAGACCGGTTTCCTTCACAAATTTTGACAATTTGACCCTTTGAAAAACTAATTTTACAAATGAGTCGTGACTAAAACTTATTAAAAAATAACTCTTTTTATTTAGCGCCAAATCGTATGGCGCTGAACTTAGATACCTCAGCACCAAATAGCACGGCGTTGAATGCACGTTGGCACACCAACTCAGCCTCCTATCCGCGGTGGTACGGCATGCAGCGCCAATTGATATGGCGCTGAACAAAATGGTCATTTTTGAAATAAGTTTTGGGTACGGTTCATTTGTAAAATTAGTTTTGGGAAAAGGTGAAAAATTGTGGGTTTCCTTTGCAGTAATAAAAAGGAATCAGATCCCATTCTCCCTTCGGTTTCCTCGCCCCTTCTCCCTTCGGCTTTTTCTGGGCCCAGCTACCGCCGCCCAGCTACCGCCGCTGTGCTGCCGTCGGCCGGCGCCCCGGCCCTCTGCCGACCACCGAGCAGGAGCCGCGCGCGCATCCTCACTCCACCGGTGAGGCGCCTCTACCAGGAAGGGCCTATGCCACCTCGGAGCCCTGTCGACGCCTCCTCGCCGGAGACCCCGCCTGGCCCCCTCCGCCTCCCCACGAACCGCTGCTGTCTGATGATGCTCGTCGCCAGCAAGCCACGCCGCCCACGAAATCAAGGTCAGATTCGCTCCTGCTTATGTGATTTACATGAGTCATTACGGTGTGCAGATGCCAATTGAAAGCTGCCACATGCACGGCAAGATGAGCAAAGCAGTCAAGGTTCAGGACGATTGACCGTAAGCTTACTGAAAAAAGGAAATTGACATCTCATCGCAAACAAATCAGGCTCGCCCCCTTCGCCGTACGTACTACTAGCCTCACAAGTCACAAGTCACAAACCATCATCTTCACTAGTAGTAGAACCCAGATCGAGCAGCCATGTCTGTTCCTGACGAAAACCCGATTGCGGTGGAGAGGAAGATATTCTCAGCTGTGGATCGCATCCTGGTGAACATAAAAGTCCTAATAGGTGACATCGGGAGCAATCTGAAAAAGCTCCCCAAACAGAGCGACCACTCCTGCAACACCGGCGATGATGAGTTTGACGACGCCGTGGCGCTGCGGCACATCGAGGTCAACATCCATGCCGAACAGCTCGGCGCCGGAGTCAACCGTTTTCAGGACAGCATCGGCACGAAGCACCATGCCGAGGAGGAGTCGATGCCCTCATTGGCGGAGCAAGAAGACGAGCCCGCGCGCCCCATGTCTGGATTGCACGTCAGGCGCCTGCTTGACACCCTCGACGGGCAGCTGATGCAGTGCCTCCTCTGCCTTGCCATCTTCCCGCCAGGCGAGGCCATCAAGAAGAGGCTTCTCATCCACTGGTGGCTCGGGGAGGGGATAGTCCAATCGGCAGACGCAGGGAAGGAGCGCTTCAACGAGCTGTTCGATCGCGGCCTCGTTCAGCCCGCGCTACGCCGAGGCCACTGCCGACGTACACACTACTTCAGAGTGCACCCCGTGGTGCACAACCAGCTTGTGGAGAGCCTAGGTTTCTTCAGGTTTTTGGGTCATGGCAAAGGCAACGTCGACGAATAATGCCTTCCTGTCAGTATTCAATCTCGACATGGAGTACGTGAAGATTCATATCGCAAAATCGAGAATCACCAGAGTCGTGCAGCTTGGGCGGTGGAAGAGGTCAAGGAAGCACCACATCGAGCTGGTGGGAGACAACGACCTACTCAAAAAAGTTTTGGCGTGCAAGAACCTGAGGTACCTCAGCCTCAGGGGCATCTCCCTCATCGAGTCCATACCCGAGGCCATCGGCACGCTTGCCGAACTCCTCGTGCTCGACCTCAGGGCGTGCCACAACTTGGAGAAGTTACCGGGGTCTATCGGCTCGTTGCTGAAGCTAGAGTACCTGGACTTGTCCGAATGCTTCTTACTTGAAGAAATGCCCAAAGAGATCGGCGAGCTGTCCAAGCTGCAGGTCCTCAAGGGTTTTCTCGTTGGCAGTTCAAGAAAGAAGAGCAGCCCATGCCGTCTCGCCGACCTGGCCACAAAGGCGCAGAATCTACGGAAGCTAAACATTACCACTGGACGGCAATCTTTGGTGTGTGATGAAGATGAGCTCTGCCAATTGGCGAAATGCCAGCATCTTGAGTCCTTGACAATAACTTGGATAGGAGAGGCATCTACCGAGCCATATCTTCCTCTTCCTTCCAGCCTCACAAAGCTTGATCTCCGGCGTGCCCCTACCGCAAGCCTTCTTAATATCATTCATCCATCGACGTCGGTGAGCCTGAAACGGCTGTATATTAGGGGAGGGAAGCTCCGTACACTGGGGCAAGACGGCGGCTGGAACGTTGAGACACTGCGTGCTAGATGTCTCAATGATTTGGAGTGTGAGTGGAGTGAGCTCCATGGTTTGTTCCGAGAACTCCGTTTTGTGGAGATGTGGAGGTGTGCCCGCCTTAGTTTCTGGCCTTGCGATGGGCGGGGCGTATGGGACAAAGGATCTCCTTCTCTGGGTAAGTGTCTTACATCTCCATGCATATTACTACCTCTGTTTCAAAATAAGTTCATTTTTCATCCATCCCACATACCAATACAAACTCAAAAATACTATAATACCATATTTTATCAAATCCCAATGCAACTATTCATCTCACTTTATCTACTCCTAATACAGTTATTCCTTGTTTTCACAAACTAAGATACAATGATTATTCTAAAAATAAACTTACTTTGGAACAAATGAAAGAATAAACTTATTTTGGAACAAATGAAAGAGGCTATAATGAACTAAATATGGGATGGAGGAAGTATTATGAACCTACAGTACTGATTTGATTAGCCTAGGACAAGATGAACTGAATATATCACATACGCTCCACTGATTAACTGCAGCTCGCCGATCCATTGGAGTCTGCTACGGAGTGAAAGGCAACAATCTGCCACCATGGCATGAAGTCGTTCAGCTATATGCCTCGAACAACATTCCTGCCATGAGGATATTCTATCCTCACCACGATGTTCTTGAGGCTCTGAGAGGCACAGGCATCGGTATCAGCCTCGACGTTGAGGGCCAATTCCTCCCATCCTTCGCCTCTGAACCCTCCGTTGCGGCTGCCTGGGTGAAGACCAATGTGCAAGCCTTTTACCCTGCAGTCTCATTCAAGTTCATCACAGTCGGCAACCAGGTTGCCCTGAGAGAGATGAGATACATCCTCCCAGCGATGCAGAATATCTATGCAGCGTTGTCAGCAGTAGGGCTGGATCACATCAAGGTGTCAACGTCGGTGAGAAGGGACGTGCTGGGTTTGTCCTATCCTCCCTCTGCTGGTGCTTTCTCCTCAGCGATGGAACAGTACATGGCACCTATTGTGCAGTTCTTGGCCAAGATTGGGGCTCCACTTCTGGCCAGTGTGTTCCCTTACTTTACTTACGTGCACAATCAGGAAGGCATTGATATCGATTACGCCCTTTTCACCTCCCCGGGAACTGTGGTGCAGGACGGTGAACATAGCTATCAGAACCTCTTCGATGCCATTGTGGATGCTCTGTATTCGGCGATGGAGAAGGTGGGTGGCTCAACCGTCAGAATAGTTGTCTCAGATAGCGGCTGGCCATCGGCTGGGGCTCCTGCAGCGACCAAAGATAATGCTAGGGCCTACGTCCAGAACCTGATTAACCATGTGAGCAAAGGGACACCCAAGAGGCCCGTACCTATAGAGACATACATTTTTGCCATGTTCAATGAGAACGAGAAAACCGGTGACGAGATAGAGAGGAACTTTGGGCTCTTTGAACCTGACAAGAGCCCTGTGTACCCAATCACCTTCTCTTAACCGAAAGGATAGTACAAGGAGGCAGCTGCTACAAAAACTCAACCACTTTTCACTGATCCTTCCATTTTGTTTTGGCATTTTATTAGGGGTTGCTATATAACGGAATCCCGTTTAGACGGATACTCGCGAGACAGACCTAGCCCAAAAATCGAGTGGGGGCATCTTATTAGAATTGATAGTGTGCTCAAAATTTTTTACTTAATTACACATTAGTAATACACTAAATATTAAATTTGAGTGGAGTCCTAGGACCCCACTCTACATACTGTGGATCCGCCCGTGCTCGCAAGGTGTCATCACCCTGATACATAGCTGATATCATCCTATCCGGACGAGATTCTATCCTGTAGCATTTCCGTTTTATTAATGCACCTTGAAACTTCCATTCTCTCATCCAGATAACCGTTAAACATTGTGTAATGTAACCGTCCATAATGAATAACGTTATTTCTTCTTGGATTTTCTTTTTATTATTATTATTATTATTATTATTATTATTATTATTATTATTATTATTATTATTATTATTATTATTGTTATTATTATTATTATTATGGCAATGACTTTGTAGTTTCGGCTTTGGAGTGCAATACATTCCGAATTTTGACAAATTGGCCCTTCTACAAAAGTTATTTTAAGAATAACCATACAAAAACTAATTTAAAAAATGAGCCGTGACCTCAACGCCAATCCTAAACCATCATTTCTTACGCTGAGATATCATCCCACGTGGCGTTAATTTGATAGGCAGAGGCGCTGACCTCTGTATTTACTAAATTGGTTGGGTGTTCGAACCCCAGCATCTGAAGGCCTTCTTAGGATTTTCAATATTATTAATATTTATCCTTCTTCATTTTTTAATACTTATTCTCTACTTGTCCTCCTTGATTATAAGGTTTGTTTTTTTAAACACGGAAGGAACAAAAAAATTTTGAAAATTTAAATCATATAATATTTAGTTTAATAAATATAAATTTGCATATTTTCAGGTTTTAATTTTAAAATAAAATGAATTTTAGAAACACGTTAGCTCATTCTAAACTCTAAATTGCAAGTTGAGGACTAATGACAAGGTTTGTATTTTTAAACACGGAAGGAACAAACTTGGCAATTTAAATCATACTTCCTCCGTTTTTAATGTATGACGCCGTTGACTTTTTAACCAACGTTTGACCATTCGTCTTATTCAAAATTTTTATGCGAATATAAAAATACTTATATCATGCTTAAAGAACATTTGATGATAAATCAAGTCATAATAAAATAAATGATAATTATATAAATTTTTTGAATAAGACGAAAGGTCAAATGTTTGTCAAAAAGTCAACAGCGTCATACATTAAAATACAATACGGAGGGAGTACATAATATTTAGTTTATAAATATAAATTTGCACCTTTTCAGGTTTTAATTTTAAAAATAAAATAAATTTTACATACACGTGAACTCCTAAACTCTAAAGTAAGCGCGATCTGGCCAGGATAGGGCACGGTCTGACCGGCTATGGTAGGCACGGTCTGACCGGTGCAGTACACGGTCTGACCGGCCATGGTGGGCACGGTCTGACCGGCAAAGGATGCGGTTAGACCGGTGTCACGACCGGTCATACCGTCAGCTCGGTTTTGCATATAGCCGATTCTTGTGTAATCGGCCGTATAAACACCCGTTGACCCCCATAGCATTATAAGCATATTGTATAGGAGCAAAACTAGAGGTAGCATATGCAACTACACAACGATTATTAGCAAAGGACGGGTTGGGCGAATCGGATGTTACCTTCAGTGAAACTACATCTTGAGGTAGCGGGACGTTTCCTTTCACGACGCCTTGATCGGTCCTAATGTATTGTGTAGTAATATTGTTGAACCCGTTCTCGCTCGTCATTGTTGATGAAGGAATTCCTTGAAATCCGGCCATATAGCTGTCACACCCCAATCTGATACCGCCGTACAACGGCACCTGACAGGAGTGTGTCGTAGGGAAAACGACGCGAACCGCTTCCTACGAAACCGCGATCTCGGTACCAGTCCCAGGACATAGTGCTGGTACCCACGGTGACAAATATGAATCATAGCAATCCTTAAAATAAATAGAGGACTTATTTACCTTAACTTAGGTTGCAGCTCAGACAGCCCGAGGATACAACCGACAACACGGACGAGGCGAACACCAACAGCAGCAGCAGCAGAACCAACGGACTAACACCCAACACCACAGGCGACGGCTGGGAACCAGGACGAAACCCTAATCTTTACTTCACTTTATCTTCTCTTCAGGGCGGAGGAACTATATATATATTTATATAGAGCAAGGGTGAGTACTTTCGTACTCAGCAAGTCACGGGAACTTAGGTGTTTAATGCAAGCTTGGAAGAGAGACAAGGTTGTTTTGCAAATCTTTTATTTGAAGACATTTTGAAATCACTAGGTGATTTACTTCTTGTTAAGTTTGGGTCGAAAAGAGACTTGCGTCTCAAATCGACTTAAGAGGTGCTTTTCAACAACTCAATTGGTAATGTACCGATCTCCCGGGTCAGATAATTACTTCTCGGCTCCCAGAGCCATTCCACTTGATTAATCGGCTCCTAGAGCCTTTTTCATTTTCTCGGACTCCCAGAGTCCAGCTGCCCAGCAGCACAACAATCCGCTTCCACTCGGGAAGCCTAGTCTATGATGTCCGCAGACATCCCGAATCACACAGATTCGTTTCTTGACCACTCAGGTCATCCATCCGCCACATAGGCTGATTCTGGTTACGATTCCCACACCACAACAACTTTTCACAAAGCACAGGCAAACAAATCTACGCAACGGGAACCACCTCACACCCGCCCATGACCGTGGGCACGGCTGTTCGAACAGTTAGTTAACCTCTGCAGAGGGGTACACTTTACCCACAAGACACGAACTTACTCCAGACACTGGCCGGTGTCAGAGGTTCGCGACAAAGCTTTTCCCAAGCCGACCCAGGGTTACCTCATGCCACATAGAAGGATCAAATCCTCACGTAAACATAGGCCATTTTAGGCATTCACAAATCAACTCCAACCACCTTGATCGGTAAGTGAGCAAGCTTCTCGTTCTTGCCTTACCAGGAACCCGGTTTGTCCGACCCCGCCCCGGCGTTCCCAACTATTGGCATGCGAGGTTTCCCTGAACCGACTAGTTACTTAGCCAGGGTGTCCCATTCCACCTTGTGGTTGCACTTTGATTATGCTCGATGAGTTTCCCACAGGAATCGGTCCTTATATGCGAATACGGGACAGTGCCACATAGGCACAACCCCCGCATCGCGAGTTTTCACAATTCATTTTTATTTTCAAACACACCGACACCACATGTCGGGTTTTGAAGGCTTCACAAACCCATTTCCCAAGTTTTCGACAAGCAACGGTATATGTGGGATATTTGGTATACGCGCTTAGAGAGCACGAATACCGAGGTACCACAAGGGTGGAGCGACAAGGAATCAGGGTAGTACGACCTACGGAAATTAGTGCGACTACTGGGTAGGTCCGTCGGTTTGGCACGCAAACCGAGGCCAAGCAAGTTAAGTGTGATTCTAATAATGCAAGTTGCAAACAAAATAATAATGACTTTTCAATTATAGGGGCAATTGATCAAAGGGTGACTTGCCTTGCTCAAGGTCTTCACGAAGCTTCACGAATCTTCGAGAAAACCCGCGATCGACGAAAATCCGATAGCCGCAACTATACGCAAACAATCGAAAACCTACACAAGACCCAAAAGAAAGATCCTATTTAGACTAATTAGTAGTGCCATTAAATAGATCTCAATTTTACGGAATTACTGGAAGTGGAACGGAGTCAATCGGAGTTACGGAGTGGGTGATATGAATTTTGGAAGTTTAATTGGAATTTCTGGAATAAGAGGAATGGTTTATGGAATTTATAGAAATAATATTCTCAAGAATATTATTGACAGTCACTGTCATGTGGGACCAAAGGAAATGGTTTATGGAATTTTGGAACAAGGAATTGATTTATGGGACAAAGGAAAAAGGATTTATTAAATCCCTGAAAAAGAAAAGGATGGAGGGATGTATATTAGACTTTTTCGGGCGGCAAGGGCGCGGCCCAAGGGTCGAAGGAGGCTCGGCCAAGCCATTTGGGCCGGCGCGGGCGCGGGAAAGGCGGCCCATTAGGGCGCGCGGAAGGGGGAGGGATCGGTCCGGTGGACCGGGTGCACCTCGCGGGGTCCCGGGTGGGGCCCACATGTCGGCGGCAAGGTTCACGGTGGGGAGAGCGCACGCGGGTGCGGTGCTAGGGTTTGGTGGGTGCGGTGTGGGGGCGTGCGCCGGGTGGATCGGATGGCAGCGGGCCCACATGCAGCCGGTTGGCGCACCGTGGACCGTGCGCGCGAAGGTGGGGAAGGGAGGAGGCGGCTGACCCGGTCGCAGCCGACGTGGCTCCGACGTGGCTGCCACGCGGGCCAACGGGAGGAGGAAGAAGGGGAGGCCGGGAATGAACGGCGGACGGCGGCCGAGTTCACCGGAGCAAGGCACGACCTCAGTGGAAAAAGGGAGCACACCGGGGAGGAGGGAAGGGACGAGAGGAAGCGAGCCGACGGCTTGGATTCGCCGGAAAGAGGCCGGAGGCGGCGGATTGCGGCGACGCACGCTGGCGGCGAGAAAAAGGGGAAACGGCGGAGGGGCGACAAGGATTAAATTCAAGGTGGTGGGAGTATCTCTGGGAGTCGGGGATTCCGTTTCCGGCGCCGGATAGGGTGGAGGAGCATCGAGGAGGGCTAGCGTCGACGGCGGCCTCCGGGAGCGGACGGTAATGGCGGCGAAGCCATGCCAGGTGACGGCATTGCTAGGGAATGGTTTGGGGAGGCCCTAGGGAGCTCAAGGACGGTGTTGGTGAGGGTGGTCGATGAGCTGGGGCCCGACGACGGCGCGCGACTGCGCGCGGCGGCTGAAACAGAGCAACGGCGAGGCGCGCGGTGCATTGTGCGGCAGGAGGAGGAATACGGTGGGGAGCTCACCGGCGAGGGAGGAGCGGCGTTGGCGACGCAGAGGGAGTCGTGACGAGGCGGTCGCGACGGCGGGGAGGCGCGGCACCGAGAGGGCGCGGCCGGGCAAAGGAGGGAAGCAACGAGGCCGAAAGGATGATGTGTGCATGCACACACTCTTGGCCACGGCAGTGCGGCACCGAGCTTGACGAGGCCGACGCCGAGGCTCACGCGGCCATTGACACAGCGCGGCAGCGAGGAGGCAGTCGCGGGGGCAAGCAGCTGGCGGCTGGCAACAATGGCGCGGGTGGTTCGGGCGAGGCGAAGACGAAACGAGAGGGGAGGGCGCGGGCTTTATAGGCGAGAAGGAGAGGTCGGTTTGGAGGAGGGAAACCGACATTGGTGGTCAAGCTTGCTCGGCTGGCGCGGCGCTTGCGGTCAAGGAGCGGCAGGTGGTGACAGCGGCTGTGGTCGGGGAAAAAGGCGAAAAGGGGAGGGAAAAGAGCTTGGCTCCCTTGCCACTTTGGGAGGAAGGAGGAAGGAGGGAGAGAGAACGAGGGAGAGGAGCACGAGCTCTGTCTCTTGGTTTTGGAAGGATGCGGCATGGAGGCATCGGGGCCGAGCGATGATAGCGGCGATGACGGCTAAAGGCGAGCGGGGCCGGGCGGCTGCGCGGCGCAGGCGCGGGGACAGGCGGCGTCTGGGCTGACGTGGCGGCAACCGGGCGGTCAGCCACGCGCGAGCGCGCAGGAACGAGCGAAGGCGGTGCAGATTTGAGCGGCGTTGGCGGGAATCGACGCCGGGGAGAGAGAGAGCGAACGGAGAGGGAGAGAAAAGGCAGAGAGGCGGGAGCTCTCTTCCTCTCTCAGCTCTGCTGAGTGACCACGTGCAGCGCACGTGAGAGAGAAGGGCAGAGGGGAGAGATGGGCCGAGGGAGGGGATTCGGCCCACGAACCTGAGGGATGAAAATTAGACTTTTGCTTAGAATTTGAGTTGGAGAGAATTTGGATTGGGAATGGAATTTGGATATCTTTCGAGTTGGTACAAGTATTTGGCGAGAATTCAAAGAGAGGAATTGAATTTCGGAATTTGATCTCGGTGACTTGAATCAGGATTGGAAATTTGAGGTGGAGGATTTCGATTTTGATGAGAGGGGGCAACGGGATTTGAATTGAGATCCTGGCACGACTTAGACTCTCACACAAAGAACGAAAATTTTCGCAATTAGGATTTTGCCGAATTAGTTTTTAACGCCTCACGAAAAGCGGAGCGTTACAATAGCTCATAGCCGAAATATTTGACCGAATAAATTAATATACGGTCTTGATTTCCGTTGGTATGCTACTGTGTGTATGTAGCAAAAATTTACAAAAACTGAAACTTCCTAGTGATAGCCGATGCAAATTGAATCGGCTTTGATTTTTTCTTTTTCGGTAACAGCGTGCAGCAAGAACAGAACTGTTTCTGTCTCGTGTGTATTGTTAGCGATGCTACTCCACGTGACAAACGTATAAAGAGGTGTCACACTCTCGCAGCGGCGGTGGACGGTTTACGGTGCAAACCGACAAAGATGGACTAAAACTAGGGTAAAATAAAAAACATAGTAAAAGAACGATTGAAGTAAGCGGCGACGAGGTGGAGAGGCGGCGGCTCCTCTCCCGACGATGATGATGACTGTCGCGACCAAGATGACTACCGCGACCACGACGACGACTGCCGCGAGGACGACTACTGCCGCGACACCGACGCCGACGCCTATGGGGGCGGCGGTGGATGAAGGAGGAGAGCCATTGTCGGCTGGAGGGGGAGGCTGGCAGCGGTGCGTTTTTTTATTTGCTGAAATGTTTTTTTGCAGGCGGGTGAATCTATCGCCTACGAAGATATCGTCCGAGGGCCCGCATGCGAAAATCATCTATTTTTGCAGGTCTTTGCTTGCAAAAAGAATGCCCGTCCGCCTGGAAAGATGGATTTGGCCCGCCAGCAAATACCTTTTTTTTAAAGGAGTGAGAGCAAACTATGATGACAAAGCTCAGCTAGATAAAAAAAATGTGAGCCTAGAGCTAAATTAGTCAATTTTTATTTGAAGCTCAGTTGTGTGTTTTCGCTTTTACTTTTTAACAAATACGCAATAGGAAGCAAGGATAAAAATGTATTTTCAAAACAGGGCAAATATTTGTCATATTTTGCAAAATCTCAGTCAAAACAAGTTGCGAATACACGAGTGCTGTTCAAAATTGAGGCAAAAATGCAATTGTAAAAAAGGGTAAAAATGTCTTTTTCATGCTCAACTTAACATGGTTATGTTGTGAAACAAATCTCTAGGAGATAAGTCTCTTATGGGCCAATCTGAACCAGAGTAGAGATAAGATATATCTCTTCCTAAGACCCATATATATACAGGGGCAGGGTGAGACATATGAGATTGGCTTGTACTCAGATGAGATCTATAATGAAGAGAGAGCTACAACCTATATATGTGTTCATTGTCTACTTCTGCAATGTTCTTGAGGGCAAAGGGATGGGCCTACTGCTATGGGAGGGACAGGGAACGGATCTGGTGATCCGCTAATAGGCATGTTGGTTTACAACAGGTTAAACTCACCATATATTCAAACTAGGGGCAGAACTCTGCTTCATTTCAAAAAAAAGCAGGGAAATACCCTAAAAAGTTAGGGCAAAATTATCATTATCGGTAAATATAGGATAGCTCCGAATTCTGAAGGACTACTTACATATATAGTTTTAGAGCTACCCCGAGGGCTCAAGCCACATGCCTGGCTTTGCCACTGTATGATAATGCAAAGCTCGTTCTTTTGTGTGTAAGGGTGTATACAATGATTCTTGAGTGTGTTTTGGTCTAGGAAAAAAATACATTGTACCAATTGGATTATCTCTTGAGTGTAAATACAATGTAATATATTTGTACCAATTGAAGTTTCTTGTCTTAGATAATTGAAAAAAATGTTTTTGCTTAAAAGAAATCACAACCACTTATATTCCATAATTCACTTAATAGAGAACATATAAAAACTAGGATATAACTAGACAATAACTAATAATACCAATACAAAATAGAGAAACATGTATTCAAGTCTGTTTGTAAATCTCCATCCGAGGCTGGGAAATATCTGCATGACCGTTTTCTCTAGATTTCGACCCACAGTATGTATTAGTTCCTTGTCATCATCACAATTTTGTAGTTATGTCCAAAATTGAAACCAATACATTGTCCTAAATAGTGTCTGGATATAAGATTTCATTTAGAATTTATCAAAAATCATATCATTTCTACGAGGCAATGTTTTACCACTATGTGGCCACAGACTTGCAGAAGACTGCAGCAGTCTTGCATGCTATTGTTGTTGTCAACCAACCAATAAAAAACCTTGAAGGTTTTCTTTATTCATGAAGCATACCATCATCAAAACCATAACGCCGTATGTCACAAAAAACACGCGCGCGCACACACACTAATGCGACATACGGAGAACGTTAACATACATCCAGCATTATTAGAGCATTGCTCACCTGCAGCTCCATGTTTATTTATATTGGAAGCTGCTAGTTCGGAAAGCAGGTAAGCGGATACACCGGCGACTTGTTAGGATAGAAGAGGCCAAAGTTCCTCTCGGTGAGATCCCCGTTCTTCTGGTTCTCGTTGAACATGGCGAATATGTCACTGGTAGAGAAATCGTTTGTAGTCCCGGTTCGTAACTCCCCTTTAGTCCCGGTTGTCCAACCGGGACTATGAATCCGGGACTAAAGATAGCGATCTTTAGTCCCGAGTAAAATAACCGGAACTAAAGATCGATCTTTAGTCCCGGTTGGTAACACGAACCGGGACTAAAGATCGGTCAGCCACGTGGCCGGCTGATCCATCTTTAACTGGGACTAAAGATCTATGTACCATTTTTTTTTATTTACATGGCCCTGTTTGCTGCATGGTTGATTATATATATATATATATATATATATATATATATATATATATATATATGCGTATGTATATATGTATAAATACATATATTACACACATATTTATAATTTAAAGCACTTAACATTTAACATTTTATGTACATATATATTACCAAAATATATATTAACACTAAAGTAAATGTACGTACATATATATACATATATATATATATACATATATATATATACATATATATATATATATATACATATATATATATATATATACATATATATATATATATATATATGCATATATAGTACAATTCATTTGCTCGCTAGCTATAGCTACGACTTCGACGCCGGTGTTACGTCAGAAGAGGAAGGACCGACGTTATGAATTGTCGATCCGTCGTAGTAGAATTCACCATCGGGATTAAGGACTTCTTCGTTGATGAACCCCATCAGTTGTTCTTGAACAGCCGTGATAAATTCCTTATGTGGGAGTTTTTCCCTCATGTGAATACGCTATCATTCGAAAAATAATGACATATCAATATATGAAATTAATAAACAACTTAACAAATCGATACGCAATGAAATTTTAAATGGTTTATGTATACGTACATCGAGCTCTCGTGTGGTGTATATTTGGTTTGATAGGCAGTGGGCATACTCGCATACGTAGTAGCCGCATAAGTTAGTTCCCTTATCCTGCTTTGCACACTACATGAGAAACGATGAGAGATTTAATATACTCTTTATATTAACTGTAACTAGAGATTCAATTCAATATAATTTTGGATCATGCATGTACTCACTGGAAAATGAAACCTCGATCCAAGTTTTTCTTTCCAAGTCCCGCGGACCAATTGACGGAACCGATCCCAAGCCCTACATGTGCAGTTGCAAGCTATGATTAATTAATTATTACCCGAGATCAACATAATAGCAACAGAGTCCCGTGACTTTGGAATAGATGGCATTATATTACCTGTCTATCAGTTGGAAGACCTTTGTCAAAAACCTTCTCCTCGTACACAGTGACTCTGCATGCGTCCAAGTCGAAAAAGAACAGGACCCAGTGGAATCTGGAATATGCGTGAGATGAGATAAATATCAGAATGTACATGTTATATGTATGGGAATGAAATTTGTTCGAACGACAATAAAAACTCACTCTGTGTTGTACGACAATAGTATGAACGTCTTGAAATGCTGCTGCGTTAGGAGATGGACGAGATTGTCCTCTGTGTCTTTCTCGTACTTGTCGAGCATTTCGGTGTTGATTTTCCGAGGGTCGATGAACCCAGTATCGTAAACCCCCCGCCGTCGGGCCCTTTGAATCTCCATTCTACAACAATGAAAGGAAATTATTATTGCTTACATATATGCCAGGAGCTAATTATTGAACGAAACAAATCGAACTCAAAGATACTTACAAAATCCATGCGCTCAGAAGAGAGACGTCGAGGGCGTCCCGATGGTACAGATCGAAGACATCCTTGAAATGGATCCATAGAACATCTTCTCCTTGCAAGAAGTCGGGGTTTCTAATCCTCGCTCCGAACATCTCTCTACCATTGGCGCTCATTTCCATGTACCGTTCATGGAATTTATACATTTGTGTCGGTAGGGACTGCAGCCGCTCAGGCCTGACAAGCGGTTTACCGAGTTCAAACTTGTATGCCACTTCCGCCTTCGGGATTGGTGCGCCTCCAACCAACAGAGCCACAGTTAGACCGGTGTCCGAAATGAAATCCGTTATGCCAAAGTCTTCGCCGGTCACCAACGGCTCGACCACTTGGTGTGGTTGTTTTCCAAGCTGAGGAACTGGATTGGACTTCTTGTAATAGGCTTTCCTAAGTGTTCGGTCATAGTCCGATAGCTTTAAGGCCTCCTTGTTTGCGGTGGATATTCCCTTGAAGAAATTCTTCACGCTCGGGTTAATAGGTATCTTCTTTTCAGGACTCCGAGGCTTGAGTTGCCTCTTCACTTCTCCTGCCACATAAGCGTCAAGCTCCTCTTGACTGCAACCGTACGGCGGCTCCTTGTTTTTGGTGGTGTCAACTTTGGCCTTCTTCGTTGCCCTTGTGCTGGCAGGAGGTGGAGCTTGGCGAGACCTTGTCTTGGGAGGTGCAGGCGGACACGGTGGAGGTGGAGGCGGAGGAGGCGGAGGAGCCGGAGGAGATGGTGCAGGAGGAGGTGGTAGAGGAGCCGGAGGAGATGGTGCAGGAGGAGGTGGCAGAGGAGCCGGAGGAGATGGTGCAGGAGGAGACGGCGGAGCCGGAGGAGATGGTGCACGAGACGCCGCTTGTTGCCCAGGGAGGATGATGTACCGCTTGCGCCATAGTATAATGGCGTGGCTTGTGTCTCGTAGATGCGTCTCACCGTCTCCTCCTGGGTAGTCCAACTCGAGGTCCTCGTACACGGCTTCCACCAGCTCAACTTCGACCCTCGAGTATCCTGCTGGAATCGGCCAGTAGTGGTAAGTCCCTGAAATGTCCGTTGGGATGGCCATTCCCGACGCCACCTTCACGTGATGAGAGGTTATCTATTAGTAATCAACCTAAGCAGCAACTTGCGGAACGTACAAGTCAAAAATCATATATTACATCGAGCATACCTTGATTGATAAGTTCTTGAAGGGAATATGCAGCTTACATGGTGTCCGTTGCGTGATCTCATCAACGGGGCAGGTGGTTTCGTCCTGGGTTTGCATGGCGTCCATGCTATGTGATTCTACCTGCCCCGTTGAGGCGCAGCTGCTACGATTGCCTGATGGGCTGACCATTGGAGGAGGTATGTATGGCTGGGGATCGTGTGACCGATGTGCTGCCATGCGTTCATCCACCTTCCGGACCACCTCCTCTTGCATGCTGAGCTCGTAGCTCGATACCCTGTACTCAAGATCTGCAATCTTCGCCTCGGTATCTCTCTTGCTCCTCATCCGACTCTTGTACGTGTGGATGTCCTCCTTGAATCCAATCTTCCAGGGAATCACGCCTTTCCCTCGTGTTCGTCCTGGATGCTCGAGAGTCTGTAGGGCGAGTGACAGCTCGTCCTTCTCTCTGTCGGGTTGGAACGTGCCATGAGAAGAGGCTTCCACTGCGTCCGTTAGTCGACTGGCAGCCTCGCGTATCTGATCGCTGAAGACCAGGGAGCCATCAACTGGGTTAAGCGTTCCACCGTGAGCATAGTACCAGAACTTCGATCGATCTGGCCATTTAGCGGTGGCTGGTTCGATACCCCTCTCAATCATTCTTGCCTCCATCTCCTCCCACTTCGGTATTGCGACGCTATAGCCACCTGACCCCAAGTGGTGATGGTACTTCTTCTTGGCAACGTTTTACTTGTTTTTGACCATCATTGCTTGCCCTTGTTGCCCTGTCTTGTAAGCAACGAACTCGTCCCAATGATCCCTTAGCTTTGGGAATACGTCGAAGTTCGGTGTTAGTCCCTTCAGGATGTATTTCTTGTACAGATCTCCCTTGAAGGTCTAGAACTGTTCTGCCATTTTCTTAAGAGTCCACTATTTCACTATGTTCTCCGTACCCGCAGGGAGCGTGAACGTCTTGAGCATTGTGGTCCACAACATCTCTTTCTCTGATTCCGGGACAAAGCTGTCATTATCCCCACGTGCCCTTGTTTTGCTGACAGGCACGTTATCCCTCACAACCCAACCGCTGTGGCGTACAAAAATTCTTGGTTGCTTCTGCCGGGGCACTAGGTCGGCCGTCTGCGTCCACCTCAGTTATGATGTGCCGACCCTCTATCTTCTTCGCGGCACCTCGTTGTCTGCGTGCCCTCTTCTGTCCAGCGGAGGGATGACTTCCACTAGCCTCCTCCTCGTTCCCCTCCGCATTCCTCTCCACGTTCCCCTCCTCGTTCCCCTCTGCATCCCTCTCCACGTTCCCCTCCTCGTTCAAGTACTGGTTTGGATCCTCGTTCCCCTCTTCTTCGTTCCAGTACTGGCTGCTTCCCTCTGCGATTGTATCGTACAGTATCTGTTCCTCATCGCGATCAGCCATCTGTTCATAGAAGAAATATTTGCTAAGCGTAATATTAAAACTCTACTAATTAATCTTGTATTAAAACTCAAATAATCATATATGCTAAGTCTAAGTGTCGTGTATTAGAACCCTAGATAATCATATATGCTAAGTTTAATTAAGTTTCGAATATTATATCTCTAATAATCTTATATTAAATCTCTAACAATCTCTAACAATCAAATATGCTAAGTCTAATTAAGTTCCGTATATTAAACCTCTAATAATCTTATATTAAATCTCTAACAATCTCTGACACTCACATATGCTAAGTCTAATTAAGTTCCGTATATTAAACCTCTAATAATCTTATATTAAATCTCTAATAATCTTATATTAAAATTGTAATAATCATATATGCTAAGTCTAACAATCTTATATTAAATCGCTACTAATCTTATATTAAAATTGTAATAATCATATATGCTAAGTCTAACAATCTTATATTCAAACTCTAATAATCTTAGATTAAAATTGTAATAATCATATATGCTAAGTCTAACAATCTTATATTCAAACTCTAATAATCTTATATCAAAATTGTAATAATCATATATGCTAAGTCTAACAATCTTATATTAAATCTCTAATAATATAATAATCTTATATTAAAACTCTAATAATCTAATAATCTTATATTAAAACTCTAATAATCTTATATTAAATCTCTAACAATCACTTCTTTACATCACTTGCCTACGCGAATTCCTTC